CTCATCGGGGACCAGCTGTATAGGAGAGGATTTAGGGCCCCTTCCTGATGTGTAACAGCGAAGAAGTGGCTACATTATGAGGGAAGTCTCGAAGGGATCTGCGATAACACCACCGCCGTACGATCTCTTGCAAACAAGGTGTCATCAAGGGTACTATTGAATTCAAGACGACGCTTACGACTTGTCAAGAGATGTGATAAGTGTCAGCGGTTCGCAAGCATACCGCGAGCTCCCTCCAAGAACTGATAACCATGACTAGCCCCTGACCTTTTCATGTGGGGGATTGATTCTCATTGGCCCCTTGCCAGTGGAAAAGGGGGAGTCAAATATGCCGTGGTCGCGGTAGATTACTTCACCAAATGGGTAGAAGCTGAACCCTAGCCGCGATCACGACTAGAAAGTGAAGGACTTCGTTTTCAGGAATACTGTGTGCCTTTGGAATTCTCATACCCTCATTTCAGATAATGGAAAACAGTCGACAATAAAGAATTCAAACAGTTTTGTGACGAGCTGGGCATCCATAAGAAATTCGTCTCTGTGGTAAGAACGCAAGCAAATGGCCAAGTTGAAGCTGTCAACAAAGCCATCAAGCACTCTAAAGGCAAAACTTGGCACAGCCAGGGGGAATTGGGCCGAGACCTCCTGAAGTCCTATGGGCATACCAAACCACTCCAAGGACCTCCACCTCGGAAACACCTTTTCGCTGGCATACGGGTGCGAAGCAATGATCCCCGTCGAGGTATGAACTGGGTTCGCTTCGGAGAGACTTGTACAATGAGGCCGATAACGAAGCACTCATAAGGGCGGGCCTGCACTATTGAAGAACGCAGCAAGGCTTCGCTAAGGATAGTAGCCTATTAGCAACGCACAAAAAAGTTCTTCGATTCAAAGGTCAGGCGAAGAGACTTCCAAGTCGGCAACGTGGTGTTAAAGAAGTTCTCCTCAGAACCAGAGAACCAAGTACGGGAGTTTTAGGGCCGAACTGGGAAGGTCTGTACCGCATGGTAAGTAATCAGAAGGGGACTTATCATTTCAAAGGCTAAACGGTTCCAAGGTACCTCAGGCTGGAATGCTGAACATTCGGCCATACTATCAGTAATTCCGAACTCAGCTTTCCTTGTAAATTAATTTCTGATTTTTTGAAGTCATTTCTTTGTAAAGTTTATCTTGAGCATTTGTAAACGATCTCTATGTATAATCCATCGTGCGAAAAGTTATGTTATCTTTGACTCAATGAATGTAAACGATCAAAAGAACTCATGTTGTAAAGCGAACAGAAAATTGGAAGGCAAAAAGTATTTCGTTACTATGGAGTACAACAGGAAAGAAGACATGATTACAAGACCTAATCAACCCCTATAGGGCCGACTCCTCGTCCTAGGGTTGGTCAGCTGAGGATTTGTTACTGCGTGTCTGAACCTTCTGGTCGGAAAGTCGCCGCTTGTCATCCTCCCGAGCCATGGACATGAGTTTCCTGCAGTCTTCCGGGAGGTCGGACATGTCAAGAAGAGGATTCTGGGCGCAAGGCATATATAGAGTCGATGCCATTCGGTAGCCTTCTCCTGACCTCCTCTGTCAAGGAAGCAACTTTCCCTTGACTCTCCTGAAGTTCACCTCAAGAGCCTGCCTAGCTTCTCAGAGGCCTCTCTCTCCTTTTCTGCTCGCGGACCTACAAGGAGGACGCTTTTATTCCTGGTCCTTCTCCCTGGCCTGTTTGGAGAGTGACTATGGTCCTTTACAGCTCCTTATCCTCTCCTTGCTTCTCGAGCTACGCTTTCTGGAAATCCACCGTACGAAGAGCTGCATTTCTTTCATTCAATAACTATTCGCCGATTCGAGGGACAGGTTTCTCTTTGCTTCGGTAGCTTCCAAGTTTGCTTAAGCACGCGTTCTCTTCCTTTAGGTAGCGCCTCTTCGCAATTCCAGTTGTATCTTTCCAGGACACTTCTCATGGAAAGAAGAGCCTACGAACAAAAGAAGAAAGAGTTAGAAATCAAAAGAGTTAAGTCCTCGCCGAGGACAGTTCGCTCACCTTGCTTATATGCTGGATCGATGGACATTAGGACCACGTTGCTGGAACTTGCGAAATGCTCGAAAGATTTCGAAAGTCCGCATTCTTGTAGGGCATACACCACCGGCTACAGGTACTCCGGCAGGTTCTCTAGCGAGTCCAATACTGTGGGACCCTTCTTCGCAGCCTCAGCAGCCATCGTGTCATCCATAGGCTCTTGCCCGACTTGCTTGCGTCCAGTCGCGACCTCTTGGCTGTCGCCTTTAGATTCAGTCTCCGATTCCTTGGCTTGAATCTGCTTCCTCTTTTTCCACTAAGCCATGGTTTTCATCCTTGGCGAGCAGGCGACGGCTGGGCGATCTTCGTGTTGCGTTGGTATGTCCTCTGCGGCTGTGGTTGGGACGTTTCGGAAGTTGTGCTTGTGGCTCGGGGTCGCGCCCTCAGCCTGGGGGGCGTTCATGCAGCTTCGGTGCCTAGTTTCTTCGTCCGAGGAAAGTTGATGGGCCTTCGACGAGGTTGCTTTGGTTCCTTCGATGGCATGGTGTTGCTGCATACAAGGCGAGGTTAGTGAAGGTATTTGTTCCACGACCAGAAAAAAATCAGTTAGGGAAACTTACATTGTGGAGGCTCTAACGACGCGTGGCGTTAAAGAAACCGTACTCCGCAAATTCGCGGTTGTCACAAGTGTCGTTGCGTCAGCTTGTCCTCAGGAAGGGAGCGAACTGCAAGATCTTCTTCTATCATGGAGCAGCCCTATCAGTTGTCTTGTTAACTGCAAGAAAGAAAAACCAGGTCGTTAGAGCGAACAAGCTTCGAATGCAATGAGTTTGCCAAAAATAAAACGAAATACAAACAAAGAGAAAGAAGCCTACTCAGATCCTGGAAGCGGCAATGACATCGTAACGAAAGAAGAAAAACTCGTTTGTAGGCTGCGTTGCTGGGATAACTGTGTATCCTGTCGGCAATGGGGAGGTCGCCTGGACAATATATACGAATCCTTGTCCTTGCTCTTCTTCAGATAATACGAGCAGCCGAGCTTAAAGCTATCAGTTTGCCAGTCCCTTTCCTGGCACGCGATGTACATTACAATAGCAATGACGTACGCGTTCGGGTTAGTGCATCGGTGCGACCCCAAGGTGGTCAAAAAACAACCTGATGAAAGGGTGTAGGGGGATAAGTCCTCCACCCTTGATAATCTCCTTGGGATCGCAGCCAAGCCTTTTGCTGGGGATCGCGACGAGTGCGTCAGGTCATGGAATACGTTACTTCTGCCGAACTGGCTTATTACCCTCTCAGTTCTTCCTCGGTGAGTACCGAGAGAACCTCAAGAGGGATGCTAAGAGCCACATCGGGACGAGCTGGTACCCTGCTCAGGTCTGGTATCTGAGGTGTCCATTTTGCTAGTCTGCAAAAGCGACAAGTAGAGGGATTATTTGGTCTCCGTACGCTATATTGTATGATGACATGGGAGGAAATAAACTCCCTTAAATCCTAAATAAATACCCTAGCAAATGGCCGCTCAAACCGACGTAGACGACTAGTCTCTGATGGGTTACCGGAAGATCGATGCCATTAACTCATGGAAAAAATAAGTTGATGGCAAGAAAAACCTTACCTCTCAGGTACGATGATGGTGTCTGCTTAGATGCCGGAAAAATGCAAGTCTGGAAGACCAGGTTCGGCCTATGAAAATCTTTTGTTCTCTGTGAAAAAGGCTTGGTAACATTGCCTGAGAGCGATTTGTGGTTTTTATAACGCTGGATCGGCGTTTGGATTTCTTGAAATCGAAACAACGTTCGAGCGGTAAAGGTTTCTTACCGTTGATCTTGGCCACGTGTCACTCATCAGCGAAGAAGGGTGAGCGAAAAAGACTGGATGAAGTCAGACTTTCACCTTTCAGTTAAAAGTCAAGCGACGGCCATATCTCTCCCAGAGCATTAATTGCGTCTAAATCTTCATTTATTGCTCTGGTAAGGTGCACGTTCCAATGCATATTGCATTTAATGCCCTGGTAAAGAGCATTGTTTCAGCATGCAAGGCATTAAATGTTGGGGCATTCGCCACACAAGGGGCACACCTATCAGGCAGGGATGGCTTCATTAAATGCCTTCCTGTTACCAGAATAAATGGGTGACGTCAAACGAAACCAGGTCGCTCGTCCTTGAGCATGCGGGTCTTGTTCATGCAAATGCCGCTCCGACCTACTCTCGAACAGTTAAAGTTTTAGAAATATCTAACCGCGGCAAGACCTGTAGTTTCCAAGGTTCAATCCTCAAACCTTAAAAAACTAGGGGGCTTTGTTATGCCTAAAAAATAAGGGTGACATCAGGACCCTTTAGCCCGCAAAAGTCAGATCATTGGAACAGCCACCGTCTGCGTCTGTCAGGATAATGGGCATGCGTCAGACTAGTCAGAAGGCTGTGGTGCCCCCGTGTCCAATCCCTGCTCTAAATCACGCAAATACTCTGGAAGGGGGGCAATGTGACATAAAGAAGGATTTGCACGGATATCCACCAACTTGCAGATTTAGTGTCATTGCCTCAAGGCATCTGACTATAAATTAGGAATTCATCTCCATTAAAGGAGTCGCACATTTTTCACTTGATTAATTATTCTTCTTTTCTTAGCAATTGATATCTTGTAATATCATTATAAAGTCAGTCAACTAATAGCGACCTGACCCCTATCACAATATAAGCATCAGTGGACGTAGGACTTGTACTTAGCATCCTCCGAACCACTTTAAAAAACTGTCTCCATTGCATTTACTATTCTTATCCATTACTTTCACGTGTGATTTCGGGGTCCCTAAAACATTCGCAGTGCGTTGTTTTTGGCGCAGATCATCGCTTTTTTTTTTTTTTTTTTTTTTTTTTTTATCAACTGATATTACCAAAGATGAGGAGAAGCTATTTCTATACTATATGTTTTTTTTTTTTTTTTTTTTCGAGAATAGTATTAACTTCTCTGATTATTTAAATCAATTTAGGGGTTGATTGAAGGATCAAAATTGGAATCATTCAATGTTCCACTATATTCACCTCGTGCTGAAGAAGTAAGGCATATTATTGAAAGAGAAGGATCATTCAACATCCATCAGCTTCAAACATTCAATATAAGCTGGTTCCAGATCTCCGACATGAAGAATCATGAAGGCCTGGAGTTGGACAGTAGTAAGTATTCAGAAGTAGGAGGCAAGATTGTAGCAGGTCGAAAGAGAGCGGTAGCAGAACCCCTTGTGGCTAGACATTTTGGGAAGGCCATCATGGATGATATGTTCCAAAGATTTTCAATCAAAGCAACTCACTACTTGGAAATGGAACCAAGAGCAGCATACCCGAGTATACTTTTTTCCTTGATAAAAAAACGAACATTCTATATTAAATAAGAGAGTGTGCATATTCATGGAGGAAACTAAATGGTTCTTAACTGTGCCTTGGAAAATAAATGGTTGTGTCTTTAATGTTTCGTCAAATAACTACATAAATTCGAAACTGTGCTATGTACCTTCAACATCAAGGAGGTCCACAAGTTTAGGTACTGTATCAAAATTCTTGCTATGTTCTCATTTCATTTCAGAATCAAGTCCATGCAGTTTATTTTTGTGAGTTAATGACACTTCCCCACCCAAGGTTTGCCTTCATGACACTTCCCATCCAAAAAGTTTCAAAATACCACTTTTTGCTAATACTCAAAATATATTTCACTTTTTCAGCCGATGTTTAACGAGTTACTAGAAGTTTGTGTGAAGGCATCTCCAACCAGATTTACACCAAAATGGTGAGGGAATTTTGCTCCAACCACACACCAAAAGCCACACTAAATTGGTGTGAATGAATAGTATCACACCAAATTTGGTGCAACACTATTTATCCACACCAATTCGGTGTGACGCTATCATATACCACAAACATATTTTATTTGCTTATTTTTGTTATTTTTATTTATGTTAATTTAATTATTATTTATAATAATAAATTTATAATAATTATATAATTCAAAAAATGATGAAAAATTAAAAACAAAACTTCATTCAATGCAAATATTAAACTACAATAACTCAAAATAAATTAACACTAATTTAAAAACACTAAAATTAATAGAAAATACAATATAAACTAAAATAACAATTTAGTATTCCGGTAGATTAGTTTTGAAAAGAACTAGAGCTATAATAAGATCCTTGACCATGTTGTTGAGCTTTTTTTTGCATAATTCTTGATTGCTCATTTGAAAAAACTCACGCAAGCTCATATTGGTTATGGAATTCAAATCCTTGAATAAAATTTTGTTATCTTCTCGACATAGACAAATCAAGAATACGGAGGCTCATCATGCTCTTCAAAATGCATTGATTGATAATTTGTGGGAAGAATATACTAATTCAGAAAATTAAATTACTATGAATATGAAATTTTACTTTTGTGTTGTTTTTTTTTTTTGTGGCATTTTATATTAGATGTAATTTTTTTATTATATTAAATGTAATGTTTATTTGATTAAATAAATGCTTAATTTTATTAAACTAGTATAATTTTTAAAGTTATTATTATTTAATAAAAAAATCATTCCCAATATTTGATTAACATATACAAAAATAATTAGTGAAATAAATTAATTGTTGATTATTAATAAAAAGAAAAAGAAAAAGAATATTCTAAAGAATATTCTTTTTGATGTAATATTTGGTATAATAAGCTGAAGATGCAATAGTGAAATACACCAAAAGTCACACCAATTTAGTGTGAAAGTTGCATCAATTTGGTGTTTGTGGTTGGAGATGGTCTAAAAGAGTTTTTGTAGAGTAGAGGCTGGTGGATCGGTGGTGACCGATTGAATATTTGCCACCGGAATTAGCTAAGAATAGAAAACCCTAGCTTTGCGGTGACTGGCAATCAACAAGAAATTAGGTGTCGGAGTGAGAGGAGACTGGAGGTTTAAGTGATAGTAACAGAGAGAAATTTCGTTGTTGAAATCGGTTGGAATCGGCTTTGGGTAGTAATGAAATATTAACTTTGGGTGAAAAAATGGTATTTTGAAATTTTTTATGTGAAAAAGTGTCATTAAGGCAAACCTTGGGTGGGAAAAAGTCGTTTACTCTTATTTTAATTTGTTGTTGGTTTTGGCTTTTTGAAGGCTCAAAAATCATTTAAATGGCTATGTTTTGATTTAGATTAAGATCTAGAATCAACACCCTTCTATAGTTTGGCTTAGTATTCTTTAATTTGCATATAAATGGATTTCCAGTACAAAATTGGAGCTCTTTCATAGCAAAAATAATAATAAAATACAAAAGAAAATGTTTACACTTATTCTAAATCACGTTCATTCATTATTAATTGATGGCATCATCGTAAACAGGGGGTTGTGATTTGTAAACTAAATTGACGAAGATACAGGCCCACACGGCCCCTAATAAAAACATGTAGCTCACAAATGAAAACAAAACGTGGTTCATTGACTTCTGTATTATATATTTTTAGGGTGCCCAGCAGTCATCTGGTTGTTTCCTGGTATGCGCGGCACCTTCACTTCACAAACAGAACATGAAAATAAAGAAGACATTTTGTGGAACGTAATGTTGCAAGATATTCCTTTTTTTTTTTTTGTTCAGATTAGGAGAATCTGATATTCAACCTATTTTCTTGCAGCAAACCAACTCCTTATAGAATGGCTCTTCTTTTAGATAACTTTTTGCTTGTAGACAATACAATTGGCGAACACCAATCAACAAATGAACGTTAATATGCTACCGATTGATTACTGGTTTTGGTCGGTAGATAGGTCGGGTATAGGTCACAATCCGGTGGTTGAAATACAAGTAGTTTATTTTACCAGAGGATGAGAGTGCTGGAATCGGAGAAAAACCAGCATACGCCTTTTCTGATTTTGTTAAGCATATTTTGGCAACATAGTTAATTGTTCATGTTGGCGTACAAATATTGGGCGCATAATCCTCAGCGGCCATCCACGCAAAGGGAAAGAAAAAATATCATGTTATGATCTTAAGACTTTTTGGTTGATGATTAAATCTAATATCTCACAAACGTAACTAATAGCCAAAAGCATTTAGTATATTAGTTTGTACAAGCAAGTACCTGAGCAGCTTCAATTTCTGAATCTTGTTTTTGAATGTCAGAGAGCAAGGTCGTAGCATGCAAACAAACATCAAATCCGATTTTCGAAAGAATGCACGGTGGCTTTGCCTGTATGTCAAGAGTTGTAATTTGGAAATAGGGAACACGTAAGTAATCAATATCGACAATGTTGCGAAAAAAGACAGAGGGATCATCAATTGAAATGAAGATATGTTTTTACCTGAAGGCTAAAACTTCAACAAATTCTGTATCACCGGAAGCAATAAAGCAAATAATAATAGATTTTATCATCAGTGGAACATCGCAGAAAACAAATATATGTATAGCTCACAATTGATACTTGATTGTGTCTAAGAATGAGTAATTAAAAATACTTACCCTTTTCTTCTTTAACTTCTCTAATTGCAGCTGTCCATTATCCTCACCCTGTGATAATAAAATTTCAGCTCTTCTAATTATTAATAATTAAAAAGAGAAAATTCAAAGGCACCATGCTTTCTAATGAACCCACCTCCTCCGCACTCCTGTAGAAACTTCCATACGTCTGTACCTCCGAATTGTCCAGACCTCTCTTAACTACGAAACCTACCAAAGACGTTAATTCAATTTCAAAAGTCCTCTCACCAATAAACCACCACCTTAACGTATGGTTAGACTAATAACATCTGATCGATCTACTGATCAGAAGTTGTATGGTCCGTACCTCTCTCTTATCGTTCAGGACAAAAGCACAAACTCCAACACGATGCGAAGATTGTAGGAATGGTATCAGAAGTTTTAGGAATCCAATACACAAGCATCAAGTAATCTGGTTCGGCATGTGTGTACCTAAACCCTTCCTGCTCAATTTCCAGATAAAAATTAAGAATCGCAAAAGATAAAAGAAAGTGGAAGAGAGACAATTAAGATAAATTGTGTTTATTACTTGAACTGTGTTTCCACAGATTTGCCAGATGAATTGGCAATTTAATCCAAACACCCCTCTTCCTCTGCAAAATGTTACCGTCACAAACTGTAACTAAAAAAAAAAAAAACCACTCTTTATATTGGTTAAATTATAAGCCAATTACCTGTTGCCTCCAATATGATAATGATGTTCTAAGCACAGAAGTGAACACCTTGGAATCCATAGGCTTTTCCATGTTTACAGTAACTCCTCCATATGAATCCTCATCTGCATCAAGCACCAACTGCTTCTCAACGTAGATGAACTTTTGAATTTGACATGTTTTTGGTAGAATTGTGATTCTACAGAGCAATTAAAATACTTTAATCGTTAAGACTTAGAATAAGCAAGCCAACGGAAGAGACAGGTTATATCATAACATTTTGGATTATCTATTGTCAAAAAGGGTTTTGTTTTGAATGTCTCTACTTGTGAGAGTTCCTTCTTTTATATAGAATCTATCGGTTAAATACAAGGCTGAAATCAGCCATTACATCTGCCTGTGCAAGGTAAGAAGTTGACAGAAATAAACGCCTATCAATTATAGGCCTATATACAAATACTCTTCTATATATAGCTAACTAATAAGGTAGAATATTGCTGCCTTAATAGACTAGGCCAGCACATATCCAACTGTCAATTCTGCTACATCTATTAGCAGACTTGCATCATCTATATTATAAAATTAAAATGATTCTATTAAAGTATCGTCGACACTTCGTATTGTTCCTGATGGCGCGACCGTTCTCAATCTCGAGACATGTGAGGACTTCAATCATTTTTGGTGAAAGTTTAGTTCTCTTTCATTTAAAATTCTTCCACTTGCACTAAATGTTTGTTCGGATGAGACAGTTGAGACAGGAACAACGAAAACATCCAAGACAAGTCTTGATAATATCGAAAAAATACTTTTTTGGTTTTCCATTATTCTAGACATCAAAGTTAGCTCTTTGTTATGGATCTACGGCAACACTTAGGGGTTCCCAAATATTGGTGAAACTCATTACTTTGTACCTGTATGGAGGATATACATTCGTTGTTGGTGCTTCGAAGAGGAGGCTGTGCTTCAAGTTGGGTCCTCTTCGGCCTATAAGTACACTCTAAATCGAAGTCTTCATTTGTTTCTTCGATCAACTTCCTAAGTATTTGCCTCTTTGCTGGTTTCCATACCTGTTTTCATATTGCAATATACCTCTGCAGACACTCTCCACCTCTCCAGTTGATTGGCATATGCTTCGTTTTGTAAATTTTTAGTTAATGTGTCTAAATCATATTTTAAACCTGCTACTTTAATTCTAGGATCAATATAGCACCTAAACAATAAAGAAAAGGAATGGGTTCCAA